GCTCTCGTCACGAGGGTGCGGGCAGGTGGGGGGGGGGTCTCTCTGCCCGGCTCTTTCCTCGCTTTTTAAGTGGCCACGTTGCGAAGTGGAGCTACGGACGCTGCCCCCTGCCCGTAGTTGACCCGCATCCACTTCTTGTGTATGCGACTTCTGGAAAGGAAGCGCCTTCCGCGTATCTGAATTGGTTTCCCTAGTTGAGAGGGGCGCAGCGAGCACTGTTGTCAAAATCTCACCTTTCTGCCCTCTTCCCACAGGGCGTGCATGGCTAAGTGGCCACGTTGCGAAGTGGAGCTACGGACGCTGCCCCCTGCCCGTAGTTGACCCGCATCCACTTCTTGTGTATGCGACTTCTGGAAAGGAAGCGCCTTCCGCGTATCTGAATTGGTTTCCCTAGTTGAGAGGGGCGCAGCGAGCACTGTTGTCAAAATCTCACCTTTCTGCCCTCTTCCCACAGGGCGTGCATGGCTTTTGCAATTGAAACCTCATATAATGTCGGGAGGTGAATGGAGCATTGCTTAATTGTTGATATGCCACTTATACTCCATTGCTGAACCTCCAACTTTTATTTCAAAATAGAAAATCCATTAGTACTAGCAGATGAAGTGATGGCAATAGTTCTTAGCAGTTTATGGTTGCTGCTTCTTGTTACAGATTCCATTGAAGCCTCTCCAGATGAGGGACTCATAGAAGATTTGGCTATTGTAGATAAGAAAGCTGTGGAGCAACTAACCGAAGGATTGATTTCTTATTATTTGCCTGATCTTCAGCGATCAAAACTAGCCCTGCAAGAGCTCACGTAAGCAAACTGAAAAAAGCAACTCTACAATACATGCATTTCCTCTCCAGAATTTCTTTAGTCAAATCCCCATACTTTCCTGTAGTATGGTTTAACATAAAATAGACTTTTATGTGCTTTGAGTGCAGCACTTTGAACAGTGAGATTTGGCAGATTTTAAATAAAATTTTAAAAGAGCTGCCAGTCAGGTCTCCTGATAGGGAGAGGGCAGTCGACCTGGGGCACAGTGATTCAAAAGGGACTGGGACTCCCAGCTGCTGCTACCACAAGAGTAGTGGTGGCCATAATCCTGGGCTCTTTAAATCACCATGGCTGGCAGGGGGGTTGGTGCAATGTGCTCTGGATGAAGCTGAGGGCTGGCCAGGCGGCCAGCCCCTCTGCCTGAGGCCCTGCCCCTTTTGAGAGCAAAGAGTATCTCTTTTATCCTGCCTTCCTCCCAACCTTGTCCAAGGGCCTGGAAAATCGGTCCACCCCCATCGCTAGTCAGGTAACCTACGAGCAGTTGAAATGGAGGGCAATTTTAAATTTAAAGCACTGAAATCCATTCACCCAGTAACAGCAAAAGATACATCCGCTTTTTAAATGTGTTCCACCCTCCTGAGAGGGGGAAAGACATGACCTTGTGCTGTACAACTTTATTTGGAGAAAAACATTCAGGTTTTGGGATGTTCTATAAAACGTGTTTTCAAGAAAGACTTTAAAACATTTTTCTTGCCTGTATGAAACCCCAGACTCTAATTTCAATTAGCATATCTTTTTGTTTTGTTACTTAATTTTTAAGGGTCCCCTATGTGTTCATTATATGGCTTTGGTGTAAGACACAGTTTGGGATTTCCAGCTAATGTGGACTGATATCTTTGCAGTGCTTGGAATCTTCCAAATAGTGTACAAGAACACTTCAGCAGCAGGAGACATAGCAGTGTCCTTTATAACTGTTTAATTAGAATTCATTTAAATATCAGTTTAAAAAAAATCTGCAAAGACTCTGTTCCTAAATCTACTTTGTTTCCTGGTTATTCCTTATCTACTATCGTGACGAAAATTACTTTGTACAAAAGAGTTAATTTAAATTTCCCCTTGGAATATTTTTTTAAAATAAAACTTACTTATGGTATTATATCTTCATTAACAATCAATATGTTAAGATTTCAATGAAGATTTCAGTATTAAAACTCAAAATTGCAAGTTCTCTTTAATCAATCCAACAGTTTATTTAATCTGATTTCTTGTGTGTGTCTTAAAGTCTTTGTATTTTTGTTTCAGACAGAATCAAATAGTATTACTAGACACGTTAGAGCAAGAAATCACAAAATTCAAAGAATGTAATTCTGTTCTTGATATCAATGCCTTGGTAAGTGTATTTTATTATAAGTTTGCCTATGGTGTAATAAAAACTTATATCTCATACATGTATTGTTTTTCATCCTCATAGGAAAATGTTATAAAGATATTACTACAGGCAGTCCCCTGGTTACGTACAAGATAGGGACTGTAGGTTTGTTCTTAAGTTGAATCTGTATGTAAGTCGGAACTGGCGTACAGGCAGTCCCCGGGTTACGTACAAGATAGGGACTGTAGGTTTGTTCTTAAGTTGAATCTGTATGTAAGTCGGAACTGGCGTCCAGATTCAGACACTGCTGAAACTGACCGCCAGTTCTGACTTACATACAGAATCAACTTAAGAACCCCAGGCGTCCCCAAGTCAGCTGCTGCTGAAACTGATCAGCAGCTGATTCCAGGAAGCCCGGGGCAGAGCAGTTTCAGCAGATCAGTTTCAGTAGAAGCTGGTCAGTTTCAGTAGAAGCTGACTTGGGGACGCCTGGGGCAGAGCAGCTGGGGTGCTGCTGGGTTGCTCCAGTAGCGCCGCTCCTCGGTGCTACTGGACCAACCCAGCAGCACCCCATCTGCTCTTCCCCAGGCGTCCCGGTTCAGCCGCTGCCGAAACTGACCAGCAGCGGCTGAATACAGACAAGAGGAGATGGGGG